CAGTTGGGACAGCTTCAAATTGCTCACAAGCTCATGTTATTGTTAGAATTCCATTCTTCATAGAAATAGTACTGAAGTCCCGTCTTCTTGGAGGCCATCAACTGGGGAAGGGTTCAGCTCTTAGAGACCACTAGCAAGTCCTGGCCACAGGGCCTCTCAGTGTCCTTCTCACAGTGTGGCTGTTTACTTCCTCAAGGCCAGCAAGATACTGTCTGACCTCTAGAGCCATTGGAAGACTAAACTGATGAGATCAGATACTTCTAGGTTTGTCTTTTTTAAGTAATTAAATGTCAGTTGTTTCCCCCTTTATTATGGCCACCTTTGAACCCATCAAATTCAAGGCCCTGCCTGTTCTCAAGTGACAAGGGTTTTGAAAGGGATTGAGTCTACCTACCACATCTGTTTATTTCTTCACTGTGTTTCTCAGTGAGCAAGTGGGGGCAAAGTAATTTCAGCTACTTCTGGATCAATAATATACTACCACTTACAAAAAATAACAAAAATGCAAATATAATTGGATATTTGAGACTTAACCATTTGGTTGTACTGCCATCTTTCCTGTTTCATTATCCTCTTTTACCCTGCTCCTTCATAAAGACTTTGATTTTCAACTCAACCTTGGACTTTGCTCCAAATCCAGACATTACTCTATGCCCAAAACATTGAGAGATGTTAGAGAACTGGGAGGGTACAAGACAAAAGAAGGAGCATTTGTATTAATTTTTTGATTCCTTAAGGTCATCTTAGTGACATCAGAATTATAGAAACTTGTTTTGCTGTTTATATTTTATGTAATTCTTTAACTCTCTCTCCTTTGGGTATTCAAAAATATCTTGTTTTCCTTGCCATCAGCTTATTTTACTGACAATGAGAGATAAGTGACAGGGTGCAGGGGCCATGTTTGGGCTAGACCATTAGAGCTGGACCACCTCTGGACTTTGGGTGTGCTGTTGACTATATAATTACCAGAGAGAGGACTGAGGCAGCCCTCCAGGATGCTACAGGATCCTGCGTCATGCTGCTTTCTGCCAAAAGTCAAAACTATAGACAAGAGTTGGTGTCAGGAAATCAGATTTAATCAAGAGCTGGCAACTTGAGTAATTATCAGACTACTGTCTCAAATGCTATCTTTCTGATTTGGGGAGAAAAAGGGAGTGAAATAGTGGAGTAGTGGGGGAGGTGGCGTGCCTAGAGAGTCTGTATCTGTAGAATTTCAGAGAAATTGCAGAGGTTTCCACCCTGCTTTTGATCCACATTTGGTTTTGACTGGACCTGTTTTGCCACTGATGGATGTTTTATTTACTATGATAATGAGTCTTTGGCTTAACTCTGACTTTTATTTCCATCTTGGTCTCAGGTGGTTTTAACTAGATTTCTGATTTTGTCTATATTAAAAAGATAGATTGGAATAGGGCAAGGAGGAGGGGTTTATGGTTACCAGAGTGGTGACTGATCCCTCCTCAGTTTTTATCCTACTCTTCATTCTTGAGTTTCTAAGGAGGTGTGTCTTCTGTAAGTGCTTACTGCTGAATAGGGGAGAAGGTTTGAGGCCCATAAAGCAGCAAAATCTTTCCCTAGCTATTTTGAGATATGACTGCTTGTCACTGGATTATAATCCCAATTGTTTATATCCTTGAGTTACAATTAATTGGAATTTTAATGTCTCCAACCTTTTGGAGACAAAGGAAATAAAGTAGTTCAGGAGACAAGGGCAAAAGATCAACAGAATCATATTATAGTAATAGTAGTCATGGGACAAATTAGCTTCCATGTATCTAAACCAATTATAAAAAATTTGGTTTATAAAAATCCAGGGCAAGGATTCATTTTTTTTTCAAGGTGCTCTGCTTCTGGGTAGCACCTTTCTTTGCATCTTCAGTCACCGGCTGGCCTTGTAGCCCAGCTCACGGTTGGTGCTGTCACTTGGTCAGGATGTCAGACAAACGGCATCTGTAGAGAAAAGTTTAGATAAGATTTTCGATTTTTTTTCTTGTGTGTCTTTTAGGGTCTGAAAGCAATTTAACTACTTAGTCTCAGTTCCAGATGGGAAAAAGGGAATCTGCTTAGTTTCTGACTGGCCAGCTTTTCTGAGCATCCAGCACAATCTGATTTATCTTAATAAAAGTGAGTCTGTCCCTTTAGAGTGTAAGTTGGTTGCTGAGTATAGATCGTGTTCTGATGTTTGTGGTAACTGGAGAAGGAAGCTTGTCAGAGTCATTTCTTCTTTCCTGCCTCCAACCTGAGTGCATTCTGGATCTGCGGATTTCTTTGAACAGAGAGGTTTTCTAAATCTCTGTGAGTGCTCAGGCCTTGCTGTCTCAGCAAGACAAAGTGCACTGTCTAGGAAGAATTTGCCTACTGTGATGGGTCTTTTCATGTGTTCTCTCTCTTAACTGTGTCTCTTTCCTTAGCTCTGCATCTGGCTTCTGAGAGCAGAAAGTAGAGACTTGCATGAGCCCTCCCCCTGAGTAGCCTCTCCAATGGCGAGCGGAGGTAGAGAAGAGGATTTGCTTGCTCCCTGGGTCTTCCAACACTGTAGCTGTTTTCCACATGTAGATAGCAAAGTTAAGTGCAGATAAGTCAAGTTAAGTGTAAATGAGCAAAAAATGTCAGGTTCTCCCTCACAGTGGTCACATTTCAAATGTCCAGTACCACATATGGTTACTGCATGGGACAGAAGACAGACATATCAACAATTTCCATCATTGAAAAGTTCCCTGAGGTGGTATTGCTCTCCTGGTCCTACAGCAACAGAGACTCCAACGTCTTATCTCCCTTTAGGTTGAAGTTTCACTGACTTTTCGGTTGGTCTTGACTGTCTCATTGCTCTGACGTCTTTGGCAGCTGGGTTATAACCTGTGAGTCAACTTCCTGCAGAAACTACGTGCTTTGAGGATGGCCTAGGGAAGACTGACTATCTTGGGTGGGCTCTTTCATGGGGCTGGAAATGCTGTGTGCCACTTTACTGTTGCTGTGGTAACAAATTACCACACAATTAGCAACTTCAAACTGCCCACGTTTATTTTCAGAAGATTCACATAGTTATCAGGCTAAAATCAAAGTGTTTTTTGGGTTATGTTCCTTTCTGGAGGCTCAAGGAAAGAACAGGTTTTCTTGCAGGTGACATATTCTGAAATACAAGTTACAGGTATTTGGTATTCACAGTCCCACAGTCCCTGGCTTGTAACTCCCAACAGTCTTTCAATTTTCTAAATGTTGAAAGAGTAGTAAAGGCCTCTCTTACTATGATATGAAGGTAGGTGTTGTAAAACACCAAAGGATAAAGGCTGCTTGCCAGGGAAACCAAGAATAGATCAGTGGTCAGTGACTAAATCAGTCATGCCTGTGTAATGGAACTTGCATATCAACCCAAAGACAGGATTTTCAGGAGAGCTTCCAATTAGTGAACTCCTGGACATTTGGGGATAGTGGCACTCCTAGAGCATGGAAGTGCTAGAGTTTCCCCCATACTTTGCCCCATGCATGTCCTTTCAGTTAGTTACTCCTTTGCAATATAATGGTGATCTAGTGAGTAAATGAGTTTTGTTCTGTGAGCCATCTAGTAAATTAGTAGAACCTGAGGATGGTGTCCTGGGAGTCTTATTTATTATTTTTTTTAAGATTTATTTATTTATGGATACAGAACTTGGGTACAGGCCATAGATGCAGGGGCAGTGAGAGGTTTCACCAGAGACAGAGTAAGGAACAGAACAGGCAGATTGACAAAAAATATACACTGTTGAGGGGAGCAGCGGGTGAGATAGGAGAGGTCTGCTGTGCTATGTGGGTCACCTCTTTGGCTAGGGATCAAACTCATGCTGAAATGGCTGTGACTAGCTTCCTAGTGCTGTGCTTTAGTCTGTTGCATCATCAGGGAGGGCCCCTGGGAGTCTTTCATAACAGAAAGTCATCCAGAAATACAGGTAATTACCTGGGCTTGTGGCTGGCACATGCATTATGAGGAAGAGATCTTAAGAACCCAAGAATCTGTAGCAAGTTGGTCATATGCACAGTTAACAGCCGGGCTTGTAACTAGTGTGAAGTGCAGGATTATCTTATAAGACTGAACTTTTTACCTAGTGCTATCTCCAGATAGTTTCAGAAGTGAGTGACATTAGGTTGAATTCTTGGATACCTTGTTGGTGTCTGATAATCCAGGATTAACTCGCCATCTCAAAACTCATAACTTTAATCATGTCAGCAAAGCTTTTCTTGCTATATTAGGTAACATTTTAGGGCATAGACATCTTTGGGATATATTAATAAAATATTATTTGTTCTACCGCATATTTAAGATTCACTTTTTTCATGTTAGTAATAAAATAAAATAGCTTATTTGAAGTGGATATTAAGATTTTACAACCTTAGCATAAATGACATTATTGAATATTTTTGGATACTAAAAACTAGGGGAAGATAGGAAAATTAGTAAAGGAGCCTAGAAAGTGAAGCTCTGAGTAAGGTGTTACCTGAAGAAAATCTTTACTAAAACATTTTACATTGTTTTCAATATTGTGCCTTCCCCATTATAATACAATTTGAAGTGCATTGATAAAATATAAACAAGATATTCCCAAATTAGCTACTTACTTATATTTCATTTTTTAAAAAGTGAGGAAATAATATAGAACAATTGGCATAATTATGAAGAAAAATGTCTTCATAAAGAACAGAGTTAGATTAATCGTTAGATTAATCATCAAATTGTGGGTACTTAATATTTTTATTAGCCTCCCCAACTTCTAGTTTACTATCTACTGATTCTGATGATATCTCAGTAAAATATTTTTATTGCAGTGTTTACTATCACTGATATAGTCACTATAGATTTCTGTACAATATTCTAATTTAGAGTATAAAATATTATATACAGAGCAATTTAATTTAACTAGACCCATTTTAAATGTTTATAGTGATCTTTTAGTTTATGTAATGAACTATATAATCATTAAGAATATAATATTTGCCTTCCTTATCTTTTATTTTATCTATCTCATTAGCTAAGAAACCTTTCCAGCTTGGACCTACGTCATATCACTGAACTGGATAATGAAACTGTGATGGAAATTGTCAAGAGGTGCAAAAACCTTAGCTCTCTCAATCTCTGTTTGAACTGGATCATAAATGACAGGTAATAATTATCACATCTTAAAAGCACTTTTCCAGAGGAAAGCATGTACCAAATACAAATTGTCATTATAACAAGGCATGTCAGCTTTAGGGAAATTTCAGTGTGCCCAGGCTTTTTCAAATAGATAAGTTTAAATTTTGAAGTGATCTATTGCATACATGTATGCTTTTAATGCATTCATCACATATATCTGCAAAAAGGTTTTTCTGTACTAAAACATGAATGATGTCTTAACAATGACAACAGTAGCAATCTGTTGAATTTTTCTTGGTTGCCTACTCAGGATATATTGTCACTTTAATATTTTTGCAAACTTTGTGGTCATTTACTGTTCACTTATCAAGAAAATGATTCTGAGATATTATTTCAAACATTATCCTTCCCAATGATGACACTTTGTTCCCTGCATCATTATATGATTTGTTTTGAAAATGGAAATCACATGTTGGGCAGCTTGATATGTAGAGTAAAATGTGTAAAATGGGTAGTTTTTTCTTATAGACAATGACAAACTCATTTTTCTTTGAAAAATTGCATGAAGGAAAAAGATAAAAGAAGTTTGTAAAACAAATTTTTAGGTTTTATATTATATAAACAGCTCTCTACTACTGTGATACTACTGATTAGTTTGGTCAGTTTTTAAGTATAGGTATCCAAAAAGATTATTGTGCAGAATTTGTCAAAAATTTGATTTTAAGTTAGATAATCAAAAATACTGTGTATTCAAAATAGAAAGCGCTATTAGCACTAAAATTATAATCTGCTTAGTTTTAAATATTTTTCACAAATAAGAGTAGTGATTGGATATATTTCAGATAATGCTTTGATTATAGGACATATCCCCTAGTTTCACTTCTAATTTCTGTTTGTACTTTAAAATATGTAAACCTCCATTTCCCTCTGTTATGTCAAATTCTAGTGACATTTTCTAAAATAACCACATTACTTGTCAAATCATGAGATAGCCTTTGACTTACCTCTTCTGTAAAATTGTCTGAGAAATGTGTTCTAAAATGGGCACAAGGTCATCATTTATAAAGGATGTTTGCTTTGAGAAATAGTCACTGTGTGAAGTATATTAAAATCTAAAGAAAATTTGATAAAAATTTTAAAGTAAAAATCTTATAAACATGCTTCAACATAATCAATTATATGGCAAATTAAAAATAATTTTAAGTATTTTTCTTAGCATCTAACATAACATGTAAATAATGAAACATTATTATGCCATTTTTAGGTGTCTAGTATAAGTTTATTATTGCATTAAACTTCTCAATAGTGCATCATACTTAAAGAAAATTAGTTCCATAACAAAATGCTCATAAAAATAATTGCCTTTCATTCCTCAACAATTTTCTGTGTACCTAGCATGTGCAGAAAAGTCAGTCATTGGGGAGTAAGGTGGTAAATTAGAACAGTTCATATATGATTACAAAGGTTATTTCCTAAGCAAATGTTTTGTTTAGTTTGTATTATTTAATAAATAATTTCAGAGATTTCTACTTTGCTACCTTTTCAAATCCTTGCCTAGCTAGAATGAGGATTTACTGATGAAAGGTGAACAATCTTGTCTTTGTCTTGTTTTTCCTTTTTCCTTTTTGAAAACTTTGGCTTACATTATTTGTATTTTGGTAGTAGAGGGTCCCCTCTCATCTGTTGTTACCAAAGGGCACCCACCTCGTCTTCCCTCCTGGTTACTTAAACCCTTAGTTAGCTGTTTGAATCACTTTTTTCTTATTTAACTATAATGATTATTTGGGATTTGATCTTAAATATATGTATGTTGAGATTTATTTCAAGGGATGAAAGTGTATTTTTATGTTTTTAATGGAAAAGTTTGGATTAATTGAGAAAACATGCATTTTAATGAGGTTGAACAGTTGGGTTTTACAGATTAGACTCTTAGGTTTTAATTACACTACTTGCACTTATCCTGTGTACTGTAATAGCAGTTTCAAACATTAAAACCCACTTTGCAGTATCATCTAAATTACTCATCTCATTGTTCTTGCCATACTCTATCACTAAGCTAAGTAATATTTGTAATTATATTGGTATAAATCTAGGACTTCCCATCAGACTTAATTATTATTTCAGCACTTAGCTGAGATGGGTTAGTCACCTTTTGTATAGAGGGCACTGGAATGCACTAATGCATTTAGCCTATCAATTAGCACCCATTTTACATTTGTTCATTATTATTATCCTCTAGTAAATCAGGAAGCATGTATTAACCCCCTACTAAATACTTGGTACTGTGTCTCAGGCCGTGGAATACTGAGTCCCCATTGCTTTCAAAGCGTTCTCTTTTTAGGTGACATAACACTTAATGAGTGAGTTAATAGTGAGCTTTACAAGGAGACTAGGGAGGAAAGGAGCCTTTATGACCCAGGTTATTGATAGGCACTTTTCTCTAGTTTGCAATGTATCCTCTCAACATCTCAGAAGAAGGTCATACTATCCCTCTGAAATTTAGGTCATATGTTTAACTTTTCTTGGCTTTTCCAGTGGATTTCACCTCCCACCCCCATCATTGCTGCAATAAAAACAAGGTGAAGACAAACAAGAAAAACAATGTAATGAGTTATTTTTCCATTTTGTGGCTGGGATTCACACAAAATTGATATCTATATGTAGTTAAAAAAACAAATCTCATTTTCTTTCATAATGAAAGTATAATAGAACCTTTTAGATATTATTTTAGAAATAGTCCATATGTTTTATACTGCTTGCTTTAATAAAGGATTCCTCACATGAAGGTGAACTTTGATACTCTTCTTAAATCTTTAGGTATAAGATTTGTTGTGAATTTTAAAAGTTCTTATCTGTAAGCTTTTTTTAAAGTTCAAAGTTTCAAAATATGTAGTAATTGAAGGCCTTTACTTTATGCTCATGCATCTTTTAGCATTTTGTGGTTCTTGAATTGATCTGTGTGACTAACACACTTTGTTCTTCATTTTTTTTTTTAAAGCATTTTTGTGTGTGTGTGTTTAGAGAGTTAAACAGCATGATATTTTCTTTCATTCAGAAGGGTGGTCTAGTAGTCATTTGACATTTACCATTGCTTTTGAATACAAATCAAATTCAAGTGGTTTATGAAAAGAGGACACTGACTATTTCTATCAGTGATTTAAATTAAACATTTGGTTATTTTGTCTGCCCTGCTTTCTCTGATTCTGAGTAGATTGAAATGTTTGTTTGTATTTGATAAAAATATTTTTTTATTTAACATGTTTGTCATCGTTTTTTGTACGTTTGGTGCAAAGTCCAAAGGAAATATGCTTTGGATGTTAAAAAATGGTATGTAAGAAGCCTGTATGACTCTGAGCATTTTAAAAGCAATATACTTATAGTGGGCCTTTTGTAGTTTTTCCCAAGAAGAATTTAAGTGAAGTCTAATTGATTTTAATAGATTTCTTACAAAAACCACTTTTACTTTTTAAATTGCCTATCAAATAGGAATTAATCTTTCATTTTCAATTTCTAGCATTAACTCTGAAAAAAAAGTTGAATCATATGATCTGTATATCCATTATCAAATACATGATCCTTTCATCCACAGTTCCTCAGGCTTGTTCATGAATTATGATAGCAGCAGAGGATAACAGCATCAGATAAGTGAATGATTCTGTAGCACACTGCAGCTTACGTCAGGAAACATAACAAAAGCCAAGTTGATTGTTAAAGTAAATTATGTTGCCAACTCCTGAACTTGCTTAGCTATAGATTTACTTTCTGAGCTTTCAGACTTTAAAAGTTAAATGTGTTAAATTTATTATATATTGATAGCTAATGACACTTTCTTCAAGGAAGTAATTTGCCTTGTAAATCTTATGTGATAGGGTGCTGTTGCTTCAGTGGACCTCCTCAATTTGGAGAAGTTAAAATCTTACACTATTGTGACCAGTTTCTTTCAGTATAAAATAGCATTCACAATATGTTGCTATTTCATTTTATATTTATGAGTGTTTAAAATAATAACTGCAGATATTACCTCTTTAAGTCCAGCTGTAAAGTAACACTATTTGAAGTTGCTAACTGGAAGGCCACCCTTGAGTCATACACAAAGCTGTTTATTTGGGCCTATGCAGTATATTTTAAAACATGAATTAGTTGCTGATACTTTAAAAATTGGAATAGTTCACACAGAAACTCTTAATTTGGACATTTCCTTGGAAATGGTTTGGCCTTAGCAACACCGAACCTACATTTTCTCATGTCTGCTCTCCTTACTGGATGAGGAATGTCTGTTCTCCGCGGCCATTCTCCAGGTTTCCTCTCTCCCATCAGCATTATTTATCCTTTTACATTACCTGCCTGAATCCCATGCATTCTGCGTGAATTCTCCCTTGTGAAAATCAGATTTTAAATCAGATAGTTTTTGTTTTTAAATTGAGTCTGATAAAATATATTAACAAAATTAATTGGTCGACCTTAGTTATTTCTTCATTATTTCAGGCATTATAACTTTTGCCAACTTGTAGAATTTAGATGATGCAACAGAATTCTGCTTAAAATAAGTTAGAACCTTCATTTTCAAATTGACTGCTTTCCACAGTGGAGAACTCACTCCCACTTGGTGTTCAAATAAAAGTGTCATCAAAAAAAGTTCTCTTCATTTTAAAGAGAGTTGAACTAGTTTAGTAAAGATTCCCTCCTGCTGCAAATCTGTGAATTAAAATTTATTTAAAAATAAATTTATTTGTAGTGCTAGGTATTATATTCATGCTTTAGTTTTTGCATTAAAAAAATGTATCCTTCTTTTTTGGTGTATAGTCTTCTTGTAAATGAATTTCACACTTCATTTTAAGTGTGTTTAGGTTGAAGTTGTGGTGTGACAGATTATTCCATGACCACTTTTAGAGAGACTGACAGCACCGTGGCTCATGTAAAACTCAATGAGGCTTTCTATAAAGATTTTTCTAAGTCCCTTGATCTTCTCTGGATGTTTATTCTGTTTCTTCTTTTAAATTTCCATTGATTCAATAAAAAATGGTGAC